GTATAAGAAGACTAAAAATATATATAATTTTAATGCCTTTTAGGGATCTTCTACTCTTTGATGACTTTCCTCCGATTTAGGCTGAAAATGCTTTTGTAATTATCATCCAATATGAGTCCAGTATTATTTGGCCTTCACCTCTGGATTACCTAAAATATTAGCTTTAAAAAAAAAATCTACTCACAAATCCATAGCTCAATATTACAACTAGTAATATTTATAATCATCAAATACTAATAATATTATCTGGCACATGACCAACAAAATCCACGATACTTCTACTAAAAGTGAAAAATATACGGCTACTAACAAAACATAGAAAATCAACGATCACTTCAATGCATGAAATTTGACACCACTAACACAATCAGCCAATACATCAACCATTTTCCAAGACTAACTTCGGAGATTCAGGATCTTCATTTGAGGAATAGCAAAGTAAAAGCTCTCAAAAGAATATTAAAGTTTCATTTGGGACAGTTTTCTTATTAATTTAAGCGGTAGTTTTTTAATACAAAAATTAAAAATCGGCAAAAAATCCATCCCAAACAAAACCTAAATCTTTAAATTATAAGGTTTGTTAGAGAAGAAAGACTTGATGTAGGAATAAATTTTCACTAGAAATTCTCTCTTCTAATGAATTCAAGTATTAAAATTATCAATCTCTCAATCAATCAAAAACTCAATTAATATTGATTGAAAATTCAAATTTAAAATGATTGGTCACGTTCATACAACATGTAAGTTAAAAATATAATCATTAAAATATATGAATTGATAAATTAAATTTTAAAATCTATTATATGATGCCATCATATTAATTTAATTATTAAATAATATAAATAATATAAATTAAACCTGTTGATTTACTTCAAAATAAAATGCCTCATTATCATCATATCTCAAAATGACATTTAAGAAAAAAATAAAAAATAAAAAGAAAATTCATCATACAGTACGAAGAATATCAAATAATACAATCCAAGGATAAATCTTAATTAAATGAATACTTAGATAATCGAGTTCAATATATTCAAAACAACAATTCTTAATCAAATATATAATTAAGCTTATTTGTTAATTTATGCTTCATTTAGAATAACAATTTTTCCTGCTTTCTAAAAAGACTTTCTAGTATAAAATATTTTTAAACTAAAATTTTTGTATGAAAAAACTACTTTTAAAATAGAAAAAATAGAAAAAAAAATCCCAAACAAAACCTTTATTAGTGTTCAAATTTAATTTTTTTTTTTAAAGAGCAATAAATGCATTAATATAAAAAGAAGAAAATAGAAACTATAATGTTGATTCCTCCTTCAATATTTTTTTTTTTAAATGGAAGAATCTTATTCAAACTCAAATCTTCCCAAATGAAATTGCTAGCCATAGCATAATTAGCACACATATCAGCTAACATATTGCTACCTCTATCAACACAACTAAAGATGACTTAATTAAATTCTTAAAAAAAAAATCAAAGTCCTTTACTCCCTTGAAGTCATCAATTCGAGCCTTATGAAGCCTCCTCATTACATTTGCATTGTCACCTTCAATGATTGCTCCCATGTATTTGAACATCCAATCTTTGACCACTTATTTCAATGACTTTATAGCTAATAGCTCCAATTGATAAATGTCCCAATGTATGCATGATTTTCCAAAAGCCATAAGAATCTCCCTTTGCTATCACGTATAACACCTCCAATGCCAACTATATAAAAGTAACCAAGTACAACATCTAAATTGATTTTTAACCAATCGGGTGGAGGGGGATATCAAGAATTAGACAGCCTAAAAGGCTGGTTAGCATCCCATAATTCCGAATTAGAGTTAACAATCAATTTAGAGATTGAAGAAAAATTGACAGCATTAGCAATCACCAACATTGCACCTTCTACCACTTTATCATGAAGAAACTTGTTCCTAGCTTTCCATGAAAGATACATAACATTGAAAAACAAATTGAGAAGCATACCATTATGTTTTGCCATTGAATCCATACAGTCACATCAATCTTCAAAGCTTTCGAACAATGGAATTCCAAATCCCCATTTGTTTAGTTGTGACATTACCTCCTGCATCTTGCTACATTTTACTATAACATGTTCCATATCTTCAATGCCGTCCAAACACCTTGGACAAACTTCAACGTCTTGCAATCTTCTATGGGCTAGATACTGAAAAGTTGGGATTGCTTTCTTAAACAATCTCCATCAAAAGACTTCCACCCGAGGAACAAGTTTTGCCTTTTTTAACCATTTTGAAAATTTGCATTCAGCCTGATTCTGTTGCCTAGCTTTAGCAATCATTCCAAATATCATTTTTCCCGAATTTTGATGTATCATCTCCTACACATCCTCCCGTTGATCAGGCTTGATTTTGGTATGTGAAATGAGCTTCACCATTTCACTACCAAATATTTTCAGCAATTCAGCCACATTCCATTCCTTGTCTTCAATGAATTTGTCCAGCATTACCAGTTCTTCTCCTTGAGGTACAACAAATGTAGGCCATTTGTTGATACTTCTATCTAGTAGCCACTTGTCTTCAAAGACATTAATTAATGATCCATTAGCAACACTCCATTTTAAGAATGGATGTAAAGCTTTTCCTCCATCAATAATAATCTTCCATGAAGATGATACATTTCTCTTCTTACTTTCTTCTTCAACCTTAGAACCATATTTAGGAGCCACCATTTTGTTTAAAAGAGAGTTTTTGTTATTCAGAAATCGCCATGCCAGTCTTGCTCTCAAATCAGCCACCTTAGTTGTAGATAAGTAAAACCCCCGTCCTCCCCATTCTACTGGTTTACACAACTCATTCCAGCTGACATAGTTAATACCAATCCTCCCATTGGGCTTATTCCATATAAAACTCCTGCATAATTTGTCAACGACTTCAAGAACACGGATAGGAACATTGGAGTGTGTGCTATAGAAACTTGGAATTGACAAAATAACCGATTTAACCAATGCTAGTTTGCCAGCCAAGGATAAGAGTTTACTCCCCCATGTATTGAGTTTCTTTAATGATTTTTCAATGATAAACTAAAAATCATTAGCCTTCAATCTTCTTAAGTTCATTTTGATACCAAGATATGAAATTTCCTTCACTTCCTTGATACCCAAAATTCGTATAATGGATTTTCTCCTCCTATTAACCATCTTCCCAAAGAGAATGGATGATTTGCCAATGTTTATGCATTGACCAGTTCATTTCCTGAATTTGACAAGTATGCCCTTTATCTCCAATGCCGCTTCCTTATTAACTTCAGAATAAATCATCACATCATCTGCATACAGTAGATGCGATATCCGTGGACCATATGGACAAATACTAATTCCAATAGATGTTAAAGCAAGAGCATTAGTGAGGAGTTGAGAGCACAATATGAAAAGAAGAGATGACAATAGGCAACATTGCCGGAAGCCACTCTTAGCTTCAATCCAATCAAATAGATTGCCATTAATTATCATTGAGAACCTTGGTTCTATCACACACTCCAAAATAAGTTTAGAAAACATAGGAGGCAATTCAAAATAATTCAAGACTCCTTCAAGAGTGCCCCAACTCATAGAGTCATAAGCATGTTCCATGTCAATTTTATAAGCTACAAGGCCTTTGGAAGATTTTGAGTACCTGAACTTGTGAAACACCTCTTGAGCAACCAATACATGATCTGAAATAGATCTCCCCTTGATGAAAGCCACCTGCTCCTCTGAGATGAGTTTGGGAATAACCAAGACCAATCTGTTTAAAATTACTTTAGCCACCACCTTATAAACTGAATTACATAAGCTAATTGGCCTGAAATTAGAAAGAAGCAAAGGATTTGAAACTTTAGGGATAATAACTATTAAAGTATCCTTCCATGTTTTATCCATCTCTCCATATCGAAGAAAAAAATTGATTGCATTTACAAAATAAGTTTTTATGATATCCCAATATGCTTTAATGAATGAGTATGAGATGCCATCACTTCCAGGTGCAATGTTACCACCCAATTGTTTAATAATTATCTCAATCTCTACTGCCGAGAACTTCCTAACAAGCCACAATTTGTCATCCATGTTTAAAATATTTTTCGACATTGTCCATCTTTCCAAGGTGCACTCCCTTTGGCTCCACTTCTATCTGAAGAACCGAATGAGGACTTCTTCAATTTGATTTTGCTCTTCCAAGACATTCCCTTCATCATCCTTAATCTTCACAATGTTGTTCAAACTTATTCTTGCACTAGCAAAGGAATTAAAGAATTTTGAATTGCAGTGTTCAAATTTAATTGTATGTATACAAATCATCTTAATATCACTGCCTTAAAATTACAATAACACCATCACTTGAATCACAAATAAACTTCAATGTGCTTTTAATCTTCATTTATAAATTTAAATTTGACCTAAAATAATTTAGTTCACACCACTAATCTTAATAAAAAAATATTAATTTATACTAAATTGTAATTATGATCATTAAAATAATAGTAAAAAACATACACTTAAGAGACCAACAAAATTGTTCACACCATGTCAAACTGAAATAATATTAAATAGCTATAGGAACAAAACACAATTTTTTTACGATTAGATATGCAACAGTGATCCAAGTCCAAAGCTCCTACCTCTCTACATCTCAAAAAGCCTTAAAAGGCATTCAGCAGCAAACTTATGCTTAACAAATCTGCTGCTCCCACGGTGATAATAAACCATTCAAATTAGAGAAAATGATATCAAAGAATACACTACAAAATTAAGGGAGGAATACATTACGCAACCACACCAGGAATCCAAATAGAATAATACAAAAGAAGACTTGAGATATTTCTTTTCAAGATTTTGGAAAGTCATAGTTCTTTGAAGGCTTTTCACATATTTGAAAGGTATAAACACGCATTTAGTAAATCTAGGAATGAGAGGTTGATGATCCTGTCATAAAATATACAAAACGGAAGAAAAAATAGAAAACTATTCCAAAATAATTCAAAAAGAGGAAAGTGCTGACATAACCGAATTTTGTAATTGCATGCATTAACCAACAGAGGGTGTAAAAAATGTAGATAATTAAACTGTTTAAACAGATCGGGCCATTCAATTTTCATCACAGAAGTAAGACTGCTTAAACATTATCAGATTAAGAACAGCGTTGGAAAGAAGGTAAAAGTAAAATGAGAAGACTTCCTGAGTATGTGTTCTATTCGTTTGAAAGCTTCCACACTTCACGAACATTTGAAGAACCATCAGCAACCTCAGCAAGCAATAATGTTTTCATTTGGCCTGGAGTAACAAACAACAGTTAAAAAACAAAGAAACATTACCAACAATATTGTCCTTATTGGGCTAAAAGGCTAAAAACATGGTATTTTTGTTGTGAATGTTCCACATTATGCAGCTAATAAATATCATATCACACGAGACACAAAAGTATAGCAGTACCTGATGGAAAAAAAAATCAGCCATTATGATGAGAATAGCTAAAAGTTGGGCAATTACATGCAGGTCCTTCAATTTTGGCTAAATAAAGACTTGCTGTAAGATGCTTATAAGAACAGATGGGCCTGATGGTAAAGTTTTGAATGTAATGGACCTAATCTTTAGTGGTATAAGAAATGTTTTTATATGATTCAGAGACGAATTGTTAGATTTTAATATTAGACCAATTCTTTAAAACCCCTGAAGTTGAGAGAAATAAATATAATTGACGCTTTGCACAAAATTTGCAGCCATCGAACATGCAAAACCATAATTGAAGACCAACTTCATAATATTGTGCAACAGATAAATTCAAAATATGGTTTGCAAAAATAAATGAAAAATTAGGAAAATACTTATATTTAAATATTTTTATCAAGAATTAACATGTTGATTTAAGAATCAACTTACCATTTACTTCAGCCAAGTCTATAAACTGCCTTGTTCCTCCACCTACGCCAAAGTAATGCTTTTTTCCAGCCATATAAACAATTCCCTTCGGGCGGCACAGGCACTGTAACATGTATTTAAGATTTCAGCATGTTGAAAACCACTGAAATTTTTATTTAGTAGAGGCAAGAATGATCATCGTTAAAGCAAAATTATAAGCACAACCTTCTTGATTAGTTCATACAGGTGTTGAAGGGAAGACGGTTCATATATAGTTTCTGCCATCAAAATAATATCATAACCATCATATGCAACATCCCTAGTGCAATAGTCTTCCTCATTTTGGTGGCCATCATTGCTTCCATGAAGGAGCAAATCGTGAACCTCACTCCAGTCACCAGCAAAGAAGCGAACAGTAGATAACATATTTACTTCTGCCTTGTTTCCAGAAGTCTGGCATTGAGATGAGTTTTTAATAAGATTGGCTTTTGCATTTGGAACAGTAAGAAACCGGAGAACTTCAGCATTGAAGTCTTGAAAATGGATGGTAGATGCACCCTTGTAGAAAGAAAGTCAGTTAAGTGTTTGACTAATGTCATGTGCAAGTAACAAACCGAGTAACAAACCTTAAGTGCAGTAAAGATGCCAGGAAGCCCATGACCACATCCAAGCTGTAGGATTGGTAAACTAAATTAGCATCCCGGAATTCAAGTTGTAACCAATATATTTTGAATCCGGAGCTCATAAAGAAATAAATTCCCTAAAGGGAAAACTATATGAAAGAAAAAAATGGAATCAACAATTGAGATGTACAGTTTTTGAATTTTGTGTGAAATCACCAACGAGATTTCCATGCCAATGCCAATAAACTGCACTATAGAATTCTTAACATCCTAATTGGACTGTCACTTGGATTTTAGCAAGGATGAGAAAGAAACCTACTTGACACGAGGTTTCACACGGGCAATGATAGTAGTCCCCAATTCGTAATTAATACATAGTAGTAAGTTAATATCCTAAAGTCACAATCAGGTTTATTAGGCATTTATTTTGTAAGTGGCCAAGTGTCATACCCCTATGGTTGCTTAGGAAATGTTGTTAGAAAAGTTGTGATGTAGAAATGATGAAATCAGTTAAGAAAGATAAGAGAAAATATTACCCAAACTCCCCAATGTGTCCGTCTTCTTCATCTATTTTTTCTACTCTTCTCTGTCTAAGATAACCTCTTCTTGGGGCTCTGTGGAAAGGCTCAAAGTTTCCAATATTCTCACCACCCTTCATCAAGGCCTATCATTTGGTCCTCTATACTTGAGCATATACCTAGAACCATTCCACTGATTTCCTTCACTCCAGCAATATGGCGGTGTTTTTGTTGGTATTTCAAAAGGTGATTTGCCTTGCAGGGTGCAAAACAAGTCAAAATTAAATTTATTTGGGGAAATTGAAAATTAAATTTAAATTTCAATTCTGAAGTCGACAGACCATTAGGGATATAATATACCATCTCGGAAGGCGGAGATAAAATCTCATAACAAGTTCAGACTCGGAATAGTGAATTTTCTCTTGAATGACGTAGCTTGATTTAAGAAAGAAATACATACGACCCTAGAGGGTCATGATGAAGTTCAGTCAAATATTAGACTACAATAATCAAGATGAGTGATAGTTTTTTTTTTTTTTTCCCTTCAAGAGTGATCATTAATTTCATATTTGAGTTCATCATAACAAATGATATATCTCCCCGAAGGAAGAAGATATCATCCGTTAATAATCGTTCGGATTTGACGATGATGATCATCAGTTTTAATTTTCTCAAAGAAGATTTAATTTGAATTTTAAAAAGAAATTGATGTTGGTTTGGTTCTAAATCTCCTACGGGTGCAAGCCCTCGTAGTTAATTACATCATACAAAATCAAAATCTCCTATAAAAACTCTCGATTAAAATAACGACATAAATTTTGTTTAAAGATTTTCTAATAGTGATGTCAAAAGAGGTGAAATAGGAATTCCAAATAGTATTTGAACAAGATTGAGCAATTATTTTGGGAGACAAAGGAGAAGAGGTAGGAGGCACTTTGGGATTCTAAAACAATTCAAAAGTGTCCGAACCTAATCTAAGTGTTGGGAATTAAATTTTAGATTGAATAGTTTGAGTTAGTTGATTTAATATAAATTTGGGATTATATTCCCGGAGGTTGGGGTCTTATGATTCAGAATCTGCCCCGGATCCTAAATCTAAATCTGGACACTAGAGCACAGTAGTCCGAACCTAACTAATGCAGAGCAAAATCTAGACTTGACCCAGCCTGCATTGGGGAGCTAGCTAACCACCAAGGCGATTTTAAATCCATGAGTCTGGTCATTTTATGAAAAAGTAGTAATGATGTTTTTATTAAGGTTTTTGAGAGATGAGACCGACATCTAGAGCTTTTCTTAATTGGTCCTTTAACTTAAATGCGGTAAAAATGCTAAGGAGAAATGCAATTAGAATTTTAGACTCATTTTTAAATTGATTTTTAATGCAACGCATGCTGATCGACTCAATAGAATGCATGAAATAAGTATGTAGTAGTTTTTTTGTATAATGATTTAATTGTCAAATGATTACTATCTTTATTGCTCACTAATGCTATGATGCTTATTTCATCTTCCTTGGAGCTAAATTAATAGCCTTGTAGGCCTGGGTTACCCAGTATCAAATGGGGTTGATTAGGTTGACTTAGTTGGTTAGAAATTAAGGGCTAACTCTAAACTTAATTAATTCAATTAATTGTTAATTTTTAAAAATTAAATTAATTTATATTTTCCATCAACAGACTTATGGCGTTGTGCCACCAAGCTCGAGGAACCAGACCTCTTTATGACACGTAGCCCCGCATCTTGGAGTAGTCCATCCTAAAAACCTTATTGATGTAGTTGAATTAAAGATTTTAATTTGGTTAAATAATTAAGAATGATTTGATTTAAAGTTTTACACTCCATTTAATTCATTCGTGGTGTTGTGCCATCAGGCTCGAGGAACAAGTCCTCCTTAGGATGTAGCCCTGCAGCCTATAGTAGTTCATCCTAAAAACTTCATCTTTTGGAGTGGTTGTTGTGTATTAGAATGTCAGTTAAATGATTTTATTAATAAAATTAGAATTTTAATCATTTATAAGATTTTTTTTAGAATTATTGGAATTATTTTAATTATATTAATTAACGGTCCAAAAATTGACTTTTTAAATTAAAGTTCAATTTGAATGTTTCATATTTTTAATAAATATTAGATCTTATGATGAATAATTAAGCTATTAGTTTGCTTAAATTGAATTTATCTACAAAAAGTTATAATTTTTTGAAGTTTGAACCTAAATTTGAATTACAATTGACCGAAAATTTCACTTTTTAACTTTAACTTGATTTTGGAAGTTTTATATTTTAAAAAATATTAGATTTTAATTATAGTAGAATGGCTTTGAGTTTGATTGATTTGAAATTTTTTGGAACTAATTATAATTTTTCAAAATTTGAGTATTTTTAGAATTTTTAACATTAACTTAATTAAGGGGATTTTTAGATTTTAATCCAAATCAGTCTCAAACCTCTTGGAATCACCCCCAAAGGTCAGAAATGGCCTAAGGGGATGTTTCCAAGCATTTACGTATTTTTTGTAATTTTTGAATATCTTTACTTAATTAATTTGGTTAATTGTCTATTTTATTAAAAAATAAAATTAATACTAAATTAGGGGTCTAATCATAGGGCTTTATTATTTCTGGATTGAAGATTTAATTATGAACATTTTGATATACTATTTATAATTTATTTGAATTAATTATTAATTTTAAAATTCTAAACCTAATTAAGAGTTTACTTACTTTCTCCTAATAGAGAAAAACCTCTAGATGATTCTTTACAGAATTCTAAAAATGATTTATTGGTTGATACTAATACTTGTAGTTTTAATAAATCTTCTGATTCTTTGAAGGAAGATAATTCTTTGGAAAAAGGCAATGATAGCATATAATTGGAAGAAGGAGAATTGGATTCTGGTTCAATTAGTGAAATTGAATTGTTGGTTGGAAAGAATAAAATCTTTCAGTCGGTTTATAATACTCGTGGGAAAAAGAATTCTGCAAAGAATTCAAAAAATTTTAAGTCTTTACTTAAATCTCATTCCTTTTATAAATAATGATTAATTTTTTAGTTTGGAATATAAGAGGCATTGGCTCTCTTTCGATTAAGAATAGAATTAGAAATCTTTGTCGTATTCATTTTATTGAGTTTCTTTTTATTGAGTTTCTTGTTATTTTAGAACCTATGATTATGAATTCTAAAATTAATCATGTTGCTAGATTACTTGGTTTTGATCAATTATTTTTCAATTCATCTAACAAAATTTGGATGTTTTGGTCCAAAAATATTATTTTAAATGTTATCCAGGATTTCCCTCAAGTTGTTAATATTTCTATTTTTTATTTTAATACTTTTGTTAAAGGTTCTTTAGTTTATGCTTCATGTAATAGAATGAAGAGAAACTATTTATTCTCAATTAACTGCTTTTTCTCCTTCTATTAATGATCCCTGTTTTGTTGGTGGGGATTTTAATATTGTTCTTCATGCTTATGAAAGAAAAGGGGGTGCTTTTCCTAATATGCATTCTATGGAAGATTTTGACAATATGATCATCGATTGTAATCTTTCTGATATTGATTTTAGTGGTTCTAATTATACTTGGAATAATAATAAATTGTGGTAATGATTTGATAGAATTTCAAATCATTTATGAATTGATAAATGATCTTTTACTTTTGTTAAACATCTTATTAGAAGTTTATCTGACCACCGTCCGTTACTTATTTCTATTATAAAAGAGAATAGTAGAATCCATGGTATACCAAGTTTTAGATTCCAAAACATGTGGATTCTTCATAATGATTTCATTAAAGTTGTTGAGGCTAATTGGAATGCTTGTTTGGCTCCTAATAATTCTGTGAAAGGTATAGTGAGATTATGGTTGAAACTAAAAGGTTGAAACACTACCTTTGTTGGTGGAATAAGAATCATTTCAAATGGAATAAGAATCATTTCAAAAAATATTTTTGCTAATATTATAGAGATGGAAAAGGAGGCTTGTGGGTTAGAAGATCTTATTATTTCTGATTCTTCCTATTTAAATGATTTGAATATAGCCAAGGATAATCTTATAAAGTTTCAAGACATGAAAGACACTTATTGGAAGCAAAAGCTTCTTCTAAACATGTTTCTAAAGGAGATGGAAACACTAAATACTTTCACTCATTAGTTAACAAAAATAAATCTAGTAATTATATTAATAAGATTAGACATGAGGATGATAATTGGATTTATGATACTTTACTTCATGAATTTATTATTAAGTATTTTACTAATATATTTTGTAATGAAGTTCATGTTAATCAGTTAGATAATCCTTATCTTATTGATAGAATCATTTTTGTGAAAGACAATATTGCTTTAACAGCTATTCCTTATGAAAAAGAAATATTTGCTACTATTACCTCTATGAATCGTAATTCTACACAGGTATGGATGGTTATACTTCTCAGTTTTTTCAAAGTTGTTGGCATATTATTAAGGATGATATGATTGATGGTGTTGTTGATTTTTTCAATGGTAATGATATGCCTAAATATTTCACTTCTTCTG